TGTGAATAATTTTAGATCTCGTGGGTGTCGCGCGGCTGTTGGCGATCCCGGTCATCGAGTGCACTAGAATTAAAAAAATGCAGGTGTAACACTGGGAGGTCCGAACTTTTGTATCTCAGCTCCCCACTGCACCACAGGGGAGTAAAGTATACCAAAATGTTCTACGTAGTCTAATCAGTAAGACCAGATTACAGTTGTGTTAAAGAGCGCGCAAGTTAAAAAAATTGAGGGAGACCGTTGCAAATCTTCGCTTCGGCTAAACTCCCGAGCTGATCCAACTTTGTAAATCACGACTATTATGCAATAGATGTGTAATATACCAGAAATACTCGCTAGATGGAGGCGAGCATTTTGGTATAATCCTAACCCCGTTAGCACATTAAGGCTAGCCGAGATACAAAAGTCGCGGTTGATGGTGATAGTGGCTAATCAGAGACTTATCCCTGATTCGAGGGGCTAAATCTTGCTCTAGTAATAACTAGAAAATCCGAGGAAACCTTGAAAGTAGCAATTAAGCCTATTTTAGCAACTTTGAGGCTGGCGAAGGCACGTTTCCGGGACCTAGCGCCCCCTACACGCTATTGTCATCATTTCTGGGAGTGGCCGATCGTCGCGACGAGGCGGCCCAAAATCTCAAAGCGCACCCTAATTTGCGTAGCCCTATAGCTTCAAAAACCTCTTCGACGCAGTAAAAAAACGAAGGGGTACCCGAATAACCGTCTCGAAAAACTGACCGAGCTCGGCGATGTTGGTCGGGTCGACGGTCGGCTTGCCCATCGTGCGAGAGCTTGAGACGCGAAATGCTCAGCTTTCTCATCAGCAAGTGCAAAAACCCGCAGCTATGCATGCACGTGTGGATGCAAACCGTTTTTTGCATCACTGCGTATGCTAATAGCATCTTTTTGACCGTCACATTGACTCGCCGGTTTTGACGTAATTTCGGAAAAACTTTACCGCTATTCAAGGGGGAAAATGATATGATAGAATTTCATAATGCCGAAATTGATAATATCGTAATGTAATTTAACACAATTAAAGGTACCCGTGGACGCATCAATGTAGCTTACTTTTAAACAATACCAGCCACAAACATATTCAACTTTTCTGAACCCGTTGCGACACGTAAAACATTTTCTATGCGTTAGCCATAAAATCAAATTTATCAGAGCTGTATGCGCCACAACATTCGCAGCTGTTTCAGCACCTTCTTTTGTGAGTGTACTTGCTCATAATCTTTATACAAATGCACATCAAACTACTGTTCAGACGAATCACCGGAATAAGTTATATTCAATCACATTTCGGGGTTCAGCTGGGGCTCGGGTTTGGCTTGGTGGGCGTGGCCGGGCTGGCCGGAGTCGGTTTTGGCTTGGCCGGACTGGCGGGGCTCGGGTTCGACTTGGCTGGCTTGGCCGGGTTGGTCGAGTTGGCGGGGCTCGAGCTCGGCTTGGCTGACTTCGGTGGCTTGGCTTCGCTGGCGGGGAACGGGGAGCACCTCTTGCCGGACCGAGGGGCGTCCACGACGCGTGCATTGGGCACTTCTTGGAACGGAAAATCTGCAAGCGTCGTGATTACACGAGGAACGACGGGACAGGTGTGCGGCAAAAATGTGGCACGAAGGTGTCTGATGACTCCTATTCGGTTGTACGGTTACCTCCGTTACAGTCCTTGACGATGAGTTGAAAGACGGTGAAACTGTCCTCACCGATGCACAGAATGGCACCGTGGTTACGCTGAAATTTAAATTTAGTCGAAATTGGATCAATTTTGGGTCAAAAATTTTAAGCCTAGGCCGAAGCCTAAGCCCAAGGCTACGCCTAAGCCTAAGCCTAAGCCTAAGCCTAAACCCAAACCTAAGTCCAGGCCTAAGCCCGAGCCTAAAAACCTAAGCCTAAGCCTAAGTCCAGGGATCTCGCTCGATGTGTCGATGAATACCCCACCGTCGGCAGCTGGTAGTTCGACGACGAGAAAACGGTGGCGCATTTTCCCTCGCCCGCCATGCCGAAACCAGCCGGTTTCAACTGAAAATGGGGCCCGGTGATAGCGATCTTTTGTGTTTCGGGTTCTGGACTGTGAGCGGGGGGATCAAATTTTTCGGAGGTTTTTCGAGCTTTCTACCAATCAAAAATTGCTAAAGGCACTATAAAAATGCGTCATATGGTATCAACAGGTAGATGATGTATGTGCAAAAAAATGTGCTTTTCCCCTGCTAACCCCCCGCTAACAGTCCAGAACCGATCCAATGGCAAAGAACTACAGGAATAAAGTATACCACATCATGCCAATGCATAACGCAAAAATACATTAGAAGGTTACCTGGTGGGCGCGCACCATCAACCCGACGTTCCAATTTTTGAGAATGAGGTCCAGCCCCATTTGGTTGAAATACACACCATTCCCACGATGTACGTTTTGGACAAATCTGAAATGCAAACGAAGTTCATGTTTCGTCAAAAAAATCAGAACGCCTTAAAGGGGTCAGGAAAGCTCAGTAGACCCTTCCGTATGACCGTGAACGGGTGTGTTTCATTTGTTCGCGTTTTAGCAAATATCTCGGTTCCATGCTCCCCCTCCCCCGATAATGCGAAAGAACAAAAAAAACGCGAAAAACCCGAAGCGTCTGTTCCAAACCGCCGCGACGGTGCTCACCCGTTTTGGCCTTCCGTGGCTGCATTGAAATCCGACCACATCACGTCACTCGCCGTGGTATTGGTGTCAGGGTCGCAAATCGGCTTCCCCACCGCATTGACTCCAGCAACGCCGTCCTCGGCCACGGTTTCTGCAAAGTAAGAGGTCGTCACCGTCCAATCCCAAAACAGGGGCGTCCTTTGTTTCCGAGCACACGGAATGGGTTCTGGACTATTAGCGGGGCGGGGCGGGGGGGAGGGGTTAGCAAGGGGGGAAAACCACTTTTTGTTTTTCCACCTACACCTGTTGACGATCAACTATAATAAAAAAGTAGTGGCGTCCGTCCGTCCGTCCGTCCGTCCGTCGTGTCCCGGATTCAACTCGAAGGGGAAAGGAGCTAGAGCTTAGCTCTCTTCGGATTCGGATAGAGCGTGGTCAGAAACCCCCAAACTGATAAAAAAATTACGAAAAAGTTTTTGTTTAAATTATTAAAATTAACTTTGAAAGTGGCGCCTTAATAAAACGAGTGGGGGCCCCTCTCCCCGGGAGGCCACGCCCCCTTTCTCTTCGCCCCTCTTCCCCAGGCCCCTTCCCCGCCCAGATGCCTTTTTGAGTTACTTTAATACTTTTAATACTTTTAATTATGTTAATTAATTATTTAAATTATTTAAAGTATCTAAAGCCATCAGGAAGGTATTGAGGTAGTTTTTGAAGGGGATTTCAGCCATGGGGGGTATCTGAAGCCATCGGGAAGGGATTTAGGTAGTTTTGAAGGGGATTTCAGCCATGGGGTATCTGAAGCCATCAGGAAGGTATTTAGGTAGTTTTGAAGGGTTTCAGCCATGGGGGTATCTGAAGCCATCAGGAAGGTATTTAGGTAGTTTTTGAAGGGGATTTCAGCCATGGGGGTATCTGAAGCCATCGGGAAGGGATTTAGGTAGTTTTGAAGGGATTTCAGCCATGGGGGGTATCTGAAGCCATCAGGAAGGTATTTAGGTAGTTTTGAAGGGATTTCAGCCATGGGGGGGTATCTGAAGCCATCAGGAAGGGATTTAGGTAGTTTTTGAAGGGGATTTCAGCCATGGGGGGTATCTGAAGCCATCAGGGAGGTATTTTGGTAGATTTTTAACGGAATTTCGACCCGGAGGGGTATCTGAAGCCATCGGGAAGGTAGCTATGTTTTTGTGGGGGGTTGGCTAGAGGGAGGTATCTGAAGCCATCAGTGTAGGTATTGCCATGAAGGCATCAGCGTAAGGTAGGGATTAAATGTGGTGGTGTAGAATATGGAGGGTGGCCCGAAGTCCAGCCGATGACAGTCGCGAAGCGACTGTAATCGGCTGGTATATTACGTATTTTTTTAGCGTTTTTAGTAGCTTTTGACTTCTAGAAAGTTAAAAAAATATTTTGTTCGATGTTGAAATATCGAGAATTTTTACCTCTTTTGGTCATTTTTCATACATTTTTTCACCAATAAGTCAAAAATTTTTGAACGTTTTATTATTTTTATATTATTTTTAGATCTAAAAGCTATACAGGGTGTCCCAATAAAAAAGGTCACGCTGGCATTTCGCCATTTCAAATCCGATCGACTTGAAATTTTGAACAGAGCTGCGGAAGGCAATTTAAAATGTTCACAGAATGTTTCAGCCCGATCGGTACGGTAGTTTTCGAGTTATAACAAAAATACTGTTTTTTTTCAACACTTTTTCTTCATTTTTCGGCTATCTTTTTGGACTTTGCATCAATTACCATCAATTTCGGCCCTAAATCCCCCATTCTTCTTAACATCGGGGATGATAACACCTTGTTAAAATTACTTAAACAACCTATTTCCAAAACGAATTTTACAAAATAAAAAATTTTCTGGGGTAAAAAAGGGACGGCGCTTCATTTGTGCCATACATTCCAAGGCTCAATTCCGGCGAAATCCAGGTTAAAAACGTAAAATAAAGTTTATTTTTGCTATAACTCGAAAACTACTGTTCCGATCGGGCTGAAAGTTTCTGTGAACATTTTAAATTGCCTTCCGCAGCCCTGTTCAAAATTTCAGGTCGATCGGATTTGAAATGACAAAATGCCAGCGTGACCTTTTTTATTGGGACACCCTGTATAAACGCTATAACAATAGGCTATATTTTGTTATAGGGCCGTAGAAATCACTGGGCGAAATTTGGTTTCCCCGCTAACAGTCCAGAACCGTTATTGGCAGAAGAGAGAGAGAGAGAGAGAGAGAGAGAGAGAGAGAGAAACTGGCTCTGGAGAGTAGCTTGGTATACCATTTTGGTATAAATTTCGACATGATAATTGTCGACAATAAGATATCAAATCGGTCGGAGAACATGTGAAACAAGCTTACCGCCACCACCGCCGTGCATCGCAATGAACCTGCCGGGGCTGTGCGCGATCAACGGGTACCACGAAAAGATCCAGTTGAACGTGCGCCACATTTCCTTAGCCGCTTTCTAAAAAGCGGACCATATAAAAGCCACGGCGCAACGACGGCACGCACAAATTCAAAGCGGCGGGTAAGTTCCTCGTAGAAGCCGTATCTCGTGTTGATGCGAGCTGTCTCGTGATTCCCGCGGAGGAGGTGGACCTGTAAGCTCCATTCTGGTAGAGGAATACCATGTGAATTTTAAGGAAAAGTTGGTTATTTCGCATTATCGAGGGGAGAACGAACTTTGATGCATCGGTCTAGAAATGCCTAGTAACTTTTAGTAACTTTTAACTTTTTCATATTGTTTTGAGGCAAACAAGACTATATTCTAACTCGAAAACAATAAAAAGTATCTATCCTACCTTATATAATTTGGTCGCGTATCTCTGTGTGTGTGTGTGTCCGGTGCCAGGAAGGGCTACTTTGCATAATTCCAAAAAATACAAATTTCCTCATTCTTGCAAGTTGCACGCACGGGTGTGGTCGGAGGAGGGGAGGCGTTCGAAGGACCCAAGCTATCGGAAAGTCAAATTTCTCATGCAAAGGCCGCATTCCAGCGCCCAAGGCCCGCGAAGCGGGTTTTGGGCGCTGGTTGTTGGATAAGTCTAGAAATGCCTATTAAGTTAACAGAGAGCCTTTTAATAGTGTTCTTAGTCAGATATAACTATATTTTAACTCAAAAGACTGTTTTATCTATCACTATCTTCTATCACTATCTTCAAAAAATTCAAAAAATTATATTTTGTTCAAAATCGTTCATTTTCGGTCGAAACATCGATATTTTTTGATATTTTTGATACAAATGTGTAAAGTTTTCAGGTTTAATAATAGCAAAAAACCGTTTAGAAACACCTTCCGCTATTTACATTTAAAAATTGGTCCCTGAGCCACCCCTCCCCCGATAATGCCAAAGAACCGAAAAGTTGATCGCGGGGCGCCGGGCTGGGTAAAATAGAGTTAAACCAACTAGCTTTTGGGGTAGGAACGGGCGAAACTGGTAAACGTGAAACTCTTACCCGATCAGAATAGAGGATCTTCAGGATGTGGATCTTGAGGAGCACCTCCAGCGAAAAGTCTCCACGATCAACGTAGTCGCCCATGAAGATCAGGCTGAATGTTGGCGATACCGGTTTGAAATTTGCCGTTTTGAGAGCCATTTTCGAACCTCTTGGGGAAAAATCCACTATAATAAAAAAGTAGTGGTGTCCGTCCGTCTGTCTGAAGCCGAATTCAACTCGAAGGGGAAAGGAGCTAGAGCTTAGGTCTCTTCGGATTCGGATAGAGCGTGGTCAGAAACCCCTAAACTGATCAAAAAATTATGAAAAAGTTTTGGTTTAAATTATTAAAATTAACTTTGAAAGTTTTTTCCTTAGTAAAAGGCGTGGGGGACGGAGGTTGGGGTGATTTTGGACATAGTGAGCCAGGTCGCGCGCGTTTCGTGGATGAAAATTTTTTGACGGGGGATTTCATTTCTTTGATTTCTCCCACGTATCCGGTCGGTCGTTATTTTCGTTTTTGAAGGGGATTTCGGCCATGGGGGGAGGGTATTGATGGAGGTAGGAAAGGATGTGGTGGAGTGGGACATGTAGGGTAGCCCGAAGGCCAGATGGTTGCAGTCGCGAAGCGACTGTAACCATCTGGTATTTACTAAGGAATTAAAATCTAGATCAGAACAGCTAAAAACATTATAAAAAATATTTCGAAAATTTTTGATTTTGGGGACAAAAATGCATGAAAGACGGTCAGGAAAAAGGCAAAAAACTTCGATTTTCAAAAATTTTTCTAATGTTTTTTATAACATCTTAGGGATCAGAACCTATTAAAAATATTGTATAAATACTCTATTCATTATTTACAGGTAGGCACAAAAATAAAAAATGATCCCCGAAACGTAAAACAATCGATTGCATACCGGATTCCGTCGGTGCACATTTTCGGATCGGCGTGACCGATGTGATCGGTAAGGGTGGTAAGGTACAACGAGAGATCAATATCCTGCAAAATGAATGCACGTCGACTAGGATGGTGGCTGCCACGTACATTTCCATGCAAGTCGCCGAAAAGTATCGCCGGACCGTCGACCAGCACAACTTGTTTCGTTTCTTGTTGCAGCTTGTACAACACTGCGGCGTTGATCTTGTCGAGGCTCTCGAGGCTGATTTCAACCTGCAACCAAGTACACGGTGTCCCAAAAAATTGTTCCCAACTTTGGGCTCTTGTAACTTTTGATAGAGGAATCATCGAACATGCGTTACCATGTCAGATAGCTTAAATATGTCAGGAAAGAGGAAAAAACTGAACTTGATTTTCATGATATTCGGCGACTTAAAGGGATGCCCAACCTTTCCGGAGCTCAAAACGCAAAAAACGTGTCGCGGGCGGGCGTCGAACCCGGGACCCCGGTTTTGTAGACCTGGATGCTATCCAGTAGACCGTAGTGGCAAGCCAGTGGTTGGGATGGGGACGCCACAAGTGGGAAAGGGTCCGAATTTTGTGCGGCAATGGGTCCCCCGTTGCCGCACGAATTTCGCTCGTCAGTTTTACTGTCCGGAATACATAACTATATATTTGCCGCCAAAACCTTGGGTATCCCTTTAATATAAATGACACCCGATAGGTGTGCGTTCCGGAAAAAAACGTGCGTTTCCGTTTTGCGGCGATCTAATGGTGGGATGGCTGTAATTTCTGGGGTGTAATTAGCTGCTAGGAGTAACTATGTACCGGAAAAATATTAGATTTACTGAACCAGGAAACGTTAGGTAAAACGCTAATTAAAGAGCTGCCGACGGCATGTGTCGATCCCCCTCATCAACAAATTGGCAAGTAGCCAACAGGGGAGAGAGCGCGCCCAGGGGAGAGGCGCAGAGACATTTTATTTTCCGCGCGTAACCGATTGTCTATGCCGTCGGCATCCCTTTAAAGGGATAGGGGCGGCATAAGTCAATCGATTATGCGCGGGAAAGAAAATGTCTCTGCGCCTCTCTCCTGGGCGCCCTCTCTCGCCGCTGCATCTGTTACAGATGCCGTCCTCATCTCTTTAATGAAATCAAGATTAAACTTTGAGCGGTCCGTAGACTCGATGCCCACCTTCAAATATTTGATGGTTTGCCAAGGAGTAGCTACAGCCTACATCTACTTACACTCCAAAAGTTAACACAATCCCACCACGAGAACTCCGGAAAACGCCAACGCACGTTTTTCCCCGGAACCCACATTATTCGGGTGTCATTTGTATTGGATACGTGGCCGAAAATGGTCAAAATCAAGTTGGGTTTTTTTGCTCTTTCTTGACAAATGCAAGTATTCTGGCATTGCAACGCATGGTTATCAAATATCTATCAAAAGTTATAAGAGCCAAGTTGGGAGCAATCTTTTGGAACACCCTGTAAACATCGTAAAGTTATTGGCTGCGACCATGGTTTCGGCTAACACATAAACAGTACAAAAGTTCGTGACCACGGCTTAATGCGGTTTGGGCGGATTTTCTAGCGAATTGTAGTCAAAGACCGAACCCGTTTTCCGGCCAGCATCCGTTCCTTGCTGAACACTTTGGGAAGCATTTTTACCGCCTCGTCCCGGCCGTCTTGATATTGCTTCATGGTGACAAGGGGGGCCTGAAACCGCGTGTCGCCTGTCGGACAACAACTCCCACCTTCTTTCCGAGAAGCTCTGCATCTTCGTCTTCCTTGCTATTACCCGGGCCATCCTGTTTTTTCTTTTCTTTCTTCTAAACGGAGGTTCAAACCGCACAACCCTTGCCCCCACCTCCATGTGCGTCAGGTCCTCATCTGCGGCTGGCGACGGGGTGCCGGCCCCGGAGGAGAGTCGATCGTCTTCGTTCGGCAAAGATCCGGCAGGAAGGGACTACAAAAATTGGTTCTTACTAATAAGGAGTGCTTTTTTTGAGTCATACGCAAATCATTTCCAAAGATAGTGCATTCGATAGAGAATTTTATTCTGAGTCATGCTATAAGATTCATTTTTGCAGAATGGTTGTCCCCGATTTTATAAAATTAAAAAACTAAATCGATGTTTTCCTACATCCCTCGGCGCGCACCGATGGCAGGCATTAATCGCCACCAGGACAAGGGGGGGCCTAGATGGCGTCGCAATCACGATTGACGATAGCGCAGTCGGTAGCGCGGTTGTCTTTGAAGCTTTTTTGGACTTCTCTGGGAGGTTCGATTCTTCCACGTGTAATTTCTTTTGCTTGTTGAATTTTTATAGCGGGAATGGCTTTTTGGCTTCAATTACCATGGAATCCGGTCTATGAGCAGGCACTACTATAGTGAAATCCCGGTGAACAGTGACAAGGCTCGGGCCTGGAGACTTCCCTTTGACCAACTTTGAAGCAACCAACTCAAAAATGCATAAATCACATCTCTATGTACGGAAACGCAATTGACCATAAAAAAACAAAAGAAATGACATTTGGAAGAATCGAACCTCCCAGAGAAGTCCAAAAAAGTTTCAAAGGCAACCGCGCTACCGACTCGGCTATCGCCAATCGTGATCGGGTAGCCATCTAGGCCCCCCTTGTCCCGGTGGCGACCTGCTGCCATCGGTGTGCGCCGAGGGATGTAGGAAAACACCGTTTTAGTTTTTTAATTTTATAAAATTGGGGATAGCCATTCTGCAAAAATGAACCTTATAGCGTTACTCAGAATGAAATTCTCTATCGAATGAACTATCTTTGGAAATGATTTGCGTATGACTCAAAAAAGCACTCCTTATAAGTCGAAGCCTGAGCCTAGGCCTAAGTCTATGCCTAAGAAACCTAAGCCTAAGACGCCATGCCAAGCATAGCCTAAGCCTAACCTAACCAACCAACTTTGTTTCTTAAGATCCTATTTTGGAAATATTAATAGTGTAAGTGTTTTTAAATGGTTTTTAAAGATTCCTAGACGTCAAAACTTTACAAATTTGTCTGTGAATTTATCAAAAATATTGATTTTTCGACCGAAAAACTCCAATTTTTTACCAAAAAATTCGACTTTTCAAAACTTTTGAAAGCTTTTGAATAGATTTCTAGTTCAAATATAGTTATATATTATTCAAACACTATTAAAACACTTTCTATTAAGTTACCAGGCATTTCTAGACATACAAAAAAACATACAAGACATAAAAAGCCCCCCCCCCCGATAATGCGAAAGAACCAACTGATATTCGTGATAGCAAAATTTAGTGCTGCTCCCTTGGCCCCGTTTTGGGGAAAAGTCTATCGGGAACCGTAACTAACGACCGTACCTGTCGTGGGACGATGAACCATTTCTCGTTCTCCCATTTGACCTGTTTGCTCAACGCTTTTGTTGCCTTGGCTCGCGCTTGTCTCATTGCCTGAAACTTCGTGCCGTATATCGGAAAAGCGCTCGATCCCAACCTCTTTTTGCTTGGATGTCCTTGAAATATAAGGTGCCACGGAATCGGTTTGCCTGTGGGTTTTCGGGCCCTTCCGTTTCTTCCTTTTCCTTTTCGGCGGTGGGCTGCCGGCGCCGGCGTTGCTCCGACCGCCTTTCTGCAACGGCCCAGCATTAAAGGGACTAGGAAGGTCGAGAAAAATTAGCATCAACGGGCCTTAGTTTTTTCTTAATAGCCTGAACACTTTTGCTCACTCCCCAAAGATTCCTAAGCATAAAAGTCAAACAAATTTTAATCTATTTATTTTTAAGTCTAAAAATTGATTTTGTTCGACCGCAAGTGACCAAATTTTCGACATTTTCAAAAATTTTCCTAACCTATTATGAAAGTTTTTCTACTTTAAATATAGTTAGAACTTACTCAAAACAATGTCAAAACACTTTATATTGGATTCCCAGACGATCCGGAGACTAAGCCGAAGCCGAAGCCTAAGGATAAGCCTAAGCTCTAGCCTAAGCCTAAGCCTAACCTAAGCCTGGCCTACGCAAACCCTAAGCCTTGGCTAAGCCTAAGCCTACAACCGCTACCTCCTCGGTGTTGCTGGGTGCGCTGCTGGTGTTGGATGAGGTGGTGGGCTGCGCAAAAAGCCCCGGGTACGGCTACAACGACCGCATGACAGTGTGGGGGCACCACTATCTTTGCTCACCTCGTTCTCATTGTGTTTCATCGCATCTTCTTCCGGGGATAGCGGAGCGTACGGTGGCTTCAGCACTGTAGGCATGGGTTCAAGGCGCTTGACCACTTTCGGTTGTTCGTCGTTAAACTAAAAAACCTAACCTAAGCCTAAGCTCCTAAGCCTAAGCCTAAGCCTAAGCCCAAGAGACAGTACCAGCCTTTCAGATTCAGATCAGGCCAACACTTACCTTCACCTCGATCTTTTTCGCTCGGAAGTAGCTGACATTCGACAACTCCAGCGGCAAGACCTGCCCTTCTTTTACTTTCTTGAAGTGTCTCAACGGCGGGGTTAACTAAAGGACCCCGTTGGCGGTGATGCGTCGAAACGGGGGAAATGGAACTCGACAAACGACCTTTTTTCGTAGGATCTAATTTTTCAATGATGCGAAAGAACTTAGGAACATTAGGTGAGTGATCGTTAGATTTTCCCCCATTAAACTTCAATTATTCGAGTTACCTTTTAGTTCCCCAAGCATACCAATTTATCCAGCGCTTTCTGCGGATTCTCAAAAATGACCGCCTCGCCGTCCCCCATCGACTTTGTGATGGGAAATTCGTCCGTGGCTTCTGAAAGTTACCGGTTCCGGTTCGTTAGCGGGGTTGAATGCCCTATATTTTTTAATCTTGCGATATTTTTTGCGGACTACATCCTCGCGTCCCGGTAGAGCAACAAAAAAAATCGATTAAACATTTTAATTATGGAGCAAAACACAATAATTTAAGAACGTTGTAACAAAAGCAAAATTATTGACTGTTGACAAACAAATGTCCCCCCCGCTAACGAACCCGAACCGAGTTACCTACCCGTAAACATCACAAGCTTGAGCGGTGGCAGTGGGAGCTTGGGTGCCTCGGGCGGCTTGGGTGCCTCGGGCGGCTTGGCTGCCTCGGGCGGCTTTGTTGCTTCGGGTGACTTGGGTGCCTCGGGCGGCTTGGCTGCTTCGGGTGGCTTGGCCGTCTCGGCTGACTCCGTTGAGCTGGCTGGGTCGCCTGCCGGCAACGGCACTTCTTCAGATGATGACCCCTTCCTGCAATGAGTTCCAATGCGATTTTTTAAACCATTGATGGTGAAATCTTCACTTTCTATAAATATTTTGAAGGCGGCAGCCCGTAAATTTGGTCAGAAATTTATTTAAGCTTACAGCGAAGTCTATAGGAGGCTCTGGGCTGTTAGCGGGGGGACCAAATTTGTCCTGGTGTTTCTGTAAAAAATTACCAAAAAAGATCAAAATTTTTGGATTGACAAAATTTAAAATTTTTTGATAACTTTCTAGTAAACAAAAACTCCTAAAAACAGTCTAACAATACATTATATAGGTAGGCACAGGCAGGCACAGGTGGAAAAAACGACCTGGGTGGTTTTCCCCTAACAAAATCCCCCCGCTAACAGACCAGAACCGACTAGGATACGATGTATACTACCATCCCTTCCTCACCAACAGCCGCGCATTTTTATCCCATACTAGCATGTTTTCCAGCAAAAAGCTTACTCCGAGAGCAGTTTTGTCTTTTCCCGACGTTTCTTTAGTGCGTAGGCGCCGCCGCCACCGGCCAGCAGAACAAAGATCGTGGTGCCGATTGCAGCGTAAAGCCAGATCAAAGGAGGAAGGCCATCCGCTTGGGCCTGAGTTGGTAGGGGCCCTGCAGTGACCACAGGCGCCGGCGGAGTGGCCAGACAGAATTGCTGAAATTTCAGGAATTGCCTCTAGTCAAGCCTTATCTACCTGGTTTTGATCGACCTGACTGCACGGGAGCAGTTTCGAGACGGTCAATGCCATTATGCCGAATTGCTTGTAGAATGGGTTCTTGGCGCAGTCGAGCAGCTCATCGGCTTCTACGATCGCTTTCTGTTCTTCCTAGAAATCTATATTCTAGGTATGTCTAGAATTAATAGAATTCAAATGCTTGTTTCCAAGACCATGCCTTACCGGCAACCCGTCCGCCTTGATGCAGCGTGGGTAGATGACAGACGGAAGTAACGTAGCTTGGCGCTTCTGACGGCGTCTTCTGTCGCTTCTCTTCCATCGTAGCTTCTTCTCACCATTCGTCGGCTAGAAATCAATGTGACTAAGATATAGCAATTTGAAAGACCTCCGTCGAGTTTCCCGTATCATCCTCCGGTGTTTCCGGCTGTGGTGATGTGGTGATTGATGGTGGGCTGTCGTCTTTAGGACGCAGCTTGGCCAGATAGTTGATCGTCTCCTCCTCACTCAGCAACGTCGCGTACGGTCCCGACTGGAATTACAGGAGTTCAAGCAGGGAAAGAAGGAATATCTTCACCTACCAGAGCTCGACGAAGCGAGTAGTATGGAGGGGTACCGGTCGGATCACTGATATCCAACAACACGCAGTCATCAGGTGGATACTGGCCGCCAACACGGGGGAATTCGCATTGTTTTTCGCACTCGATCGACGGTTTGACCACGGACCTGTCGGCAAAAATGTTTCTGAAAGGAACTTTGATAAATTAATTGAGGCTAACTGTGTAGTTCCATCGGGCGCACAAACAGGTAGAGGATCGCACTCTTGACCTGCATGGCGCCCTCCCTTCGGACAATACTGAAACGAGAGTCTTCTTCTGATTTGAGGCATGTGTACACCTTGGGGATTAAAGGATCGAAAACATCGTATGGATTTGTATTGAACTTTGTTTCATCTGTTTGCAGGTATCCGGCCGCCATTTGAAGACTTGGGATGCACGTCAGGGGCAGCTCCGGATTTTTAGCAACGGCGTCGAGGATGATTCTGCAGAATTTATTGTATACTGGGTGTCCCAAAAAAAAGCACCCCCCTCTAGCGGTCCGGGGGAAGCTCAGATCGGGATAATTTTTATACCATTCGAAAGCTCTCAGAAAGGCGAGAAAACAAGCGGAATTTATTTTATGAGATTTATTTTTATACGCCGGATATTCAACGTTTTTCTAAAAAACAGGTAGATTTTCAATAGGAATTTCGCGATTAGCATGCAGCTCTCGCGTAAATCTGCCGTTTTCATGGCTTTTGGACGTAAAATTTGCTAATAAAAATAGCTAATAAAGAAAATAAACCCTCCTTGTTTTCTCGCCTTTTCAAGAGCTTTCGATAGATACCTAAACGATAAAAATCGGACACGACTGCGCGCCGCTAGAGGGGGGTGCTTTTTTTTGGGACACCCTGTATATGGATGAAAGTAGACGCGGTAAGAGTTCACTTTACCCACTTCCCCCCTTCCTCCCCATTCGGCCACCTGTTGACCTACAGGCGTGTAGAGTATACCAAAATGTTCCTCTTGCTCTGGCGAGCATTTTGGTATACTTTACAGGCCCCTACGACAAGTACAATAGGTGGGGTCGGATGGGGGAGGGGGGGGGGGTGGCGGGTAAACTGAACCACAGCCGTAGACGCCTACTTGGGAATGACAAAGCCCGCATCACACTGCACGAAGTATTTGGTGGTATGAGAGATAGCTGCAGTCGAATATGACTTCTTGCTCCTAAATGGTGAGGTTGATGGAAGGATATAGGATCCCCCACCAATTCTTCTCATCGCATTGTCCAGAGGCCACCATCTCCCGTGTGCAAAGGTTGAATGGAAAGTAGACGGTTTCTGGAATGCGTGTATCGTCTACAACAGTAACGTTATGTTGCAAAATAAAATAGCTACCTACCATTTATTGCATCTATTTTGACCGGGACAATACAATCTGCCGAAGTGGTTTCGCCAAGCTTCTGCAAGGTTTGTGGTATGTGGCGTTGAAAAGGTCGAGCATACGCAAAAGTCTGGACTGCAACGGTTGCCCTTGAGCCTTTCCCCTGGTCTTATGAGAAAGTTGTCAGGGTCAGGACATTTTTTCACGTGCAGCAGTGTTGCACGACGCGCACTAAATGCTGGCCCACTTTGAACAAGAATCTCAAAACCTTCCGTCGCTCTGTAATGCCTGAATACCTTAGCAAAGTCCTGCTTGCCGCCGTCTTTCTTCAGCCACGGTGGATATTCTTGGCCGAGTTCATCAAGAGCGTCGCAGACAAACGGTCGATCAGAGGGACACTGGAAATCGTGATGGAAACGCTGCGAAACCGACCTCCACACTAGCATCGCTGCCATAACGACTGGCGCGACTGATCCGTCTATTTTGCGGCTCGATCCTCGACATTCTGGAAGTATTTTCGAGGCGCAAATTTGAGAGCCAGCCGAAAAGTAAAAAACCTACCGGGCCGCCACTGCGACGAGGGCGACGATCAGCAGAACGAAACCGATTTTACGCAGCACACCGGTTGAGACCGAGTTGGAGATGCCCAACTGGTGGTAGACGGGCTGATTGGGAGGGTACAGCATCTTGCTGCTGTAGCAAAGCAACGCCACCCGCTAAGAATTTTTGAGCGAAATTTGAGCAGCCTAGACCGGTGATGCCGGCTTTTTCACGCAAATTCAAGAATTATGCAAATATAGCTGTTTTGAAAAATTTTTTTAGTGCCATTCGATAGAGCGTCGAAAAATATATTAAGAGCTTTGTTTGTAGAACAAAGAAACGCAAAAAAAATAGTTAGCTCGGCCCCAACAGTCCGTCCCCCCGCTTAAAATCCCCCGCGTAGCCGACATATACCCAAATTTTTAACGAAATTTTTAATCTATGCGGTTGACTTCATCTCTGTTTTTTTAAAGACCCGGTCATGTTACATCTGTTTTTTAAAATATTTTTACAGCAGCAGACGCAAGTTTGTGCCTTCAGTATATCCGGAGAAGTCTTTATTTCACATCCAATGCGGCGGTAAAGATATTCCGGTATCACTTTTATCAGATTTATGCCGATTTTGGGGCCTAGGCGGCGGTGGGCTCGGATTGACTGGGGGTGGCGGCCTGGGAGTTGTCGCTGCTCTCCGACTTCGGATCGGCAGCCGGCTCCCCTGCAAATGCAATTCTTCATCGTCCATATAAATAATAGAATTATTTCAAAGTGGTTTTTTACTATTCCTAGACGTGAAAACTTAACCAATTTGTATAAAAAATATCAAAAATATCGTTTTTCGATAGAAGAAATGGCGATTTTTGAGCAGAATTTCGACTTTTTTAAAAGTTTTTAGATAGTTTTCTAGTTCAATACAGTTATATATTACTGCAAACACTATTAAAACACTTTTTATTAACCTACTAGGGACGTCGAGACTTCAACGAAAAGTTCGGTCCCTCCCCCCCCCCCCCGATAATGCAAAAGAACCAAAATAGAAATATAAGGAAAGGGACCGACTCTTCTGCCTTCTTTCGACCGCCCGATTTCAGCACGTAGACGACACCGACGACGACGAGGACAGCAATAAGGGCCGCGGCACCGATGCCGAGGAAGAGTCCGAGCTGTTCAGGCTCCTCTGGGGTAACAGTTGTTGGTGGCAGTACCGGGGCGGCGGTCTGGCGAGTGACCACACAGAATTTCTGAAAGTCGCAGGCTCTTTTTAGTTAGCAGGGGAGGCGCATGTTTTGCTCACAGCAACGTTCTAATCAAAAACTATTGAAAAACACGATAAAGTACATGATATATCATCAATAGGTGGAAAAGCAGAAAGTCCCTGCTAACCCTCCCCCCCCGCTAACAGTCCAGAACCGTCATGTCATATCTACCTGGTTCTGATCGACCTCGCTGCACGGGAGCAGTTTCGAGACGGTCAGTGCCATTATGCCGAATTGCTTGTAGAATGGGTTCTTGGCGCAGTCAAGCAGCTCGTCGGCCTCTACGATGGCTCCCTGATCCTCCTAGAAAAAGCGAAGATCCTCATGCTCAAGACCATGACCGACTGGCAACCGGTCCGTCTTGATGCAGCGTGGGTAGATGACAGATGGAAGTGGTGTACCCTGGCGCTTCTGACGGCTTCTTCTGTCGCTTCTCTTCCATCGTAGCTTCTTCTCGCTATTTGTCGGCTATAAATGAATGCGGCTAAAATCTAGACAATTGAAAAACCTCGGTCGAGTTGCCCGTATCATCCTCCGGTGTTTCCGGCTGATTCGGGATTGATGGTTGGCTGTCGTTTTTAGGACGCAGATTGACCAGGTAATTGATCGTCTCCTCTTCACTCATCAACGTCGCGTACGGTCCCGACTGGAATTACAGGAGTTCAAGCAGGGAAAGAAGGAATATCTTCACCTACCAGAGCTCGACGAAGCGAGTAGTATGGAGGGGTACCGGTCGGATCACTGATATCCAACAACACGCAGTCATCAGGTGGATACTGGCCGCCAACACGGGGGAATTCGCATTGTTTGTCGCATTTGGTGGAAGTTTGAACAACGCTCCCGATTAAGGGATAAAATTTTCTAAATTAAAACAGTTTAGATTATTTGGGATGAACGTTTCGGAGGCGACGGGCATACAGATGGGTAGCGGATCACACTTTACATCAGATTGTCGTCCTCCCTTCGGACAATACTGAGAAGTGACTTGAAATTGACTCTTAGTTTGGGTTATGCACCTTGGGAGCCATTGGATCGAAAACATCGTATTTGTTGTCACCGAGAGTCGTTTGATCGGTTTGCTTGTAACCGGCGGCCAATTGAAGGCTTGGAATACAGGTAACTTGGATGCGCGGATCTCTTGCATTGGCTTCGACGACGATCCTTGGTATGATTTTTATAAACTCGGAACGTGAATGGGCTAACCTAGGGATGACAAATCCAGCATCGCACTGCAGAAAGTATTTGGTTGTGTGCGGGATTACCTCCGGCGCGTATGCGATGGTGCTCCTAAATTTACAGCCAGTCAGGCAAGCCAATGATGACTCACAAGCTTCTCTCATCGCACCGTCCGGAGGCCACCATCTCGCGTGTGCAGAGGTTGAAGGGAAAGTAGACCGTCTCTGGAACATTCACTTGTATTCGAAAAGGGTTCTTTCGGATTGGCGTGGGAGGGGGAGGGAGAAGGATACACGGGAGGGGTTTTTAGTAAGTTTTAACCATATTTAAAATAGAAAGACTTTCAAAAAGTTAGAAAAATGTTTCAAAAGGTCGAAAACTTGGTCATTTTGGGTCCTCCCCCCCCCCTCCCCGCGAATCCTCAAGGTTCTTTCGAATTTACCTAAAATTAACTTTTCAATTAAAATTGGTGTAGCTGTTATGCATAGCAATAGTTCAAAAAATTTAGAAACACATCCGCTATTTATAAACAAATTGGGCTTGAGCCGAAAAAATTGGGTTTCCGCCCCGCCCTCGTGAATCCTAAAGAATCTAGAGAACTCGGAATATTCACTTGTATTCGAAAAAGGCCCCGCAAGATAAATATTATACCATTGATTGCGTCGATTGTGACCGGCGCAATACAATCCGACGCAGTGGTTTCGCCAAGTTTCTAAAAAAATTTGGAAAAAGTCGCCAAAGACCCACACAAAGATTTGGGCGGCAGCCCATCGTTTGCGATCTAATGCCATTAATAGCGCTAAATTTCCATTCCTCTGTGCATTGTTGGCTCGCGGAAACAGCGCAAGGCGAACACTGAATCGGATTATATTAGATGGTGATGGTTATGGTACCTTGTGCAAGCAATTAACCCGGATTTTGCAAAAAAATTGCAGTTTCTATGCATGTATTTTGGTCGTAAAACCCGTTGAATTAAAATGTCGATATTGAAAAAGCAAAGGGCCGGTGTCACATAATTACGAGAGCTTTCGATAGATACGTAAATCGTCAAAATCGGACACTGCTGAGGAAAAATCCACCACCACACCTGAGTATCCTTGGGGCCAGACAATTCGGGATATGGCTTTTCGAGCTCATCAAATACGTAGCAAACAAACGGGCGGTTGGAAGGGCACTGAAGCAGATGTTGTAGATTATCATATGGGTTTAACTCCGACCTCCTCGCTGACGTCCCTGCTATAACGGTTGGGGCGACTGATGCGACCCCTTTGCGGCTCGATCCACGACTTTCTGAAAACATTTTTGACACGCAACTTTCAGATCGGCACGAATATGTGCTGCAGGAAAGATAAAACTTACCGGGTTGCTAGTGCGATGTGAGCGACGAACAGCAGAAAGAAGCCGATTTTACGCAGCACACCGGCTGAGGCCGAGTTGGAGATGCCCAAATGGTGGTAGAAGGGCTGATTGGGCGGGTACAGCATCTTGCTGCTGTAGCAAAAAATACCACCGCTCAGCAAGTATTTTTGAGCGAAATTTGAGCAGCAATGACCGGATATGCCGGCCTTTTTACGCAAATTCAAGAATTATGCAAATATCGCTGTCTTCAACAAATTTTGAATGAAAGGAAAATTTTTTACTCTATGCGGTTGACTTCATCACTGTTTTTTAAAGACCCGGTCATGTTACATCTGTTTTTTAAAATATTTTTACAGCAGCAGACGCAAGTTTGTGCCTTCAGTATATCCGGAAAAGTCTTTATTTCACATCCAATGCGGCAGTAAAGATATTCCGGTATCACTTTTATCAGATTTATGCAAATTTGGAGGCCTAGGCGGCGGTCGGCTCGGATTGACTGGGGGTGGCGGCCTGGGAGTTGTCGCTGCTCTCCGACTTCGGATCGGCAGCCGGCTCCCTGCAAATGCAATTATTGATGGCCCATACAAATAGGGGAAGTGTTGAAAGTGTTTTTTTAGGATTCCGAAACGTGAAAACTTAACAAATTTTTATCAAAAAATATCAAAAATATCGTTTTGCGATTTTTGATGATGATGATGCCGATTTTTGAGCAGAATTTCGATTTTTTTTAAATTTTTAGATAGTTTTTCATGTTCAATTTTTGTTTAGACAGATCTTGTTTAGACATTACTGCAAACACTATTAAAACACTTTTTGTTAACCTACTAGGGACGTCGAGACTTATACGAAAAGTTCGGGCCTCACCACCCCCGATAATGCAAAAGAACCAAAATAGAAATATAAGGAAAGGGACCGACTCTTCTGCCTTCTTTCGACCGCCCGATTTCAGCAAGTAGATGACACCGACGACGACGAGGACAGCAATAAGGACCGCGGCGCCGATGCCGAGGAAGAGTCCGAGCTGTTCAGGCTCCTCTGGGGCAACAGTTGTTGGTGGCAGTGTCGGGGCGGCGGTCTGGCGAGTGACCACACAGAATTTCTGAAAGTCGCAGGCTCTGTTTCGTTGGCAGGGGAGCATGTTTTTCCCACAGCAACTTTCTAGCGATTAAAAACTATGAAAAACACGATAAAGTACATGATATATCCTCAATAGGTGGAAAAACAGAAAGTGTTCTCCTGCTAACCCCCCCGCTGCGCTAACCGTTGAGAGCCGTCAAGTCCTATCTACCTGGTTCTGATCGACCTGACCGCACAGGGGCAGGTTCGAGACGGTCAATGCCATTATGCCGAATTGCTTGTAGAATGGGTTCTTGGCGCAATCGAGCAGTTCGTCGGCTTCTACGATCGCTTTCTGATCTTCCTAGAATTCATATTCTAGGTATTTCTAGAATTAATAGAATTCAAATACTTGTTCCCAAGACCACGACTTACCGGCAACCCGTCCGTCTTGATGCAGCGTGGGTAGATGACAGATGGAAGTGGTGTACCCTGGCGCTTCTGACGGCTTCTTCTGTCGCTTCTCTTCCATCGTAGCTTCTTCTAAAAAATGTGGATAAGATCTAGACGCTTGGCAACTTCTGTCGAGCTTCCTCCATCACCCTGCGGTGTTTCCGGCTGATTCGGGATTGCTGGTTGGCTGTCGTTTTTAGGACGCAGCTTGGCGAGGTAATTGATCGTCTCCTCCTCACTCATCAACGTCGCGTACGGTCCCGACTGGAATTTCGGGAGTTCAAAGCAGGGAAAATCGGGGAAGTTTCTCAACTCACTAGAGCTCGACGAAGCGAGTAGTATGGAGGGGTACCGGTCGGATCACTGATATCCAACAATACGCAGTCACTCGACGGATACTGGCCGCCAACACGGGGGAATTCGCATTGTTTTTCGCACTCGATCGACGGTTTGACCACGGACCTGTCGGCAAAAATGTTTCTGAAGGGAACTTTGATAAATTAATTGAGGCTAACTTTGTTGTTCCATCGAGCGCACAAACAGGTAGAGGATCGCACTCTTGACCTGCATGGCGCCCTCCCGGCGGACAAAACTGAAAAGAGAGTCTTCTTCTGATTTGAGGCATGTGTACACCTTGGGGGTTAAAGGATCGAAAACATCGTATGGATTTTTTAATGAACTTTGTTTCATCCGTTTGCAGGTATCCGGCGGCCATTTGAAGGCTTGGAATACAGGTGGAGGTGATGTCTGGATTTGTAGTGATGGCATCAAGGACGACTCTGGAGAATGGTATGTTGTCGATGGATGGATGAAAATGGATGGACTTACTGTAAGAGGCTAGTACTAATAAATATAATTAAGGTTGAAGAATCAAAATAGCGGGGGTGGGGGGAGGGGGACAACTAGACTTTAGCCGGACTTACTTCGGGACAACAAAGCCAGCATCACACTGAACGAAGTACTTTGTCGTGTGCGGAATCGTGTCAGGTGCGAATGGCCTGATGCTCCTAAACCGCATGACGAAGAGTAGCTTCTCGTTTCTCACAAGGTCTTGCCAACACACAGCCCAGCAGCCACCATCTCGCGTGTGCACAGATTGAAGGGAAAGTAGACCGTCTCTAAAGTCTGCGCTTCGATTAAAATGAAACAGGGAAGAGTTGGGTTAAGTGCAGTTACACGCCCAGTCCTAACTTTTCAGCCATACGTCCTATTAATGCGTGGAGTATTTCAAAATGTTCGCCGTGGTCGAATTACGATAAAAAAGTTCTTTTCTTGCGGCAAAAATTGCTAAAAAATTTGTTGCAAGAATTTGAACGTTGAAAAGATTAAGCCGCTATGCTTCGATGTACTAGGAGTCTAAAACTCAAATATTTTTATTTTTCGCTATTTTTTTCGGCTCAAACGTACTGTAGGCTTATTTTCCAGAGCAATAGCTACATTTTGGGACTATTGAAAGCTCTGTACGTCAAAAGATAGCCGAGATACGAAAACTCACTTCGGGACAGCAAAAATTAACTAAAGAAAACCCAGACTTATAATTGTTATAAAAAATTTTCTAACAATTTTTGATGTAAGGAAACAACTTTTTTATAGTAATTCGACCACGGGGAAGATTTTGAGATACTCGGCGCATTAATAGGACGTATGGCTGAAAACTTGCGGCTGGGGGCGGGGGGGTAAACTGCACTCTAACCAAGAGTTGAAAACTGCCTTCCCCAGAGCCTAAGCACACACGGAAGATTAATATTCTACCATTTATTACATCGATTTTGACCGGGGCAATACAGTCTGTCGTAGCAGTTTGTTCACGCTTCTGCAAGAATCACAGTAAGTGTGAGGTGGCTTGGCAAGCTTCCAAACGACCTACGCAGAGCTTTGGACTGCAACGCCGGTCCTCAAGCCTTCCATCTTGCTGTATGGCAAAGTTGAAGGGGTCAGCGCAGGGTTTGCGCGCAGCCGTGTTGCAGGGCGCGCACTAAATGTAAATCAGAGTCAGAAGGGACTAGAAAGGGTTCAGTTTTTGTCCCACAACTTGTAAACGATCTGAGTTAACTGGATACCTTGGCGAAGTCCTCCGCCCCGCCGTCTTTCTTCAGCCACGGTGGATATTCTTGGCCGAGTTCATCAAGGGCGTCGCAGATAAACGGTCGATCAGAAGGACACTGGAAATCGTGGCTGCAAACGCCATAACCGTGATACCGACCACTACACTAGCATCCCTGCCATAACGACTGGGACGACTGATGCGACCCCTTTGCGGCTCGATCCACGACTTTCTGAAAATATTTTCGAGGCGCAACTTTCAGATAGGTACGAATCTGTGCAGCTGAAAAGAGAAAACTTACCGGGCCGTCAGTGCGACGAGGGCAACGATCAGCAGAACGAAGCCGATTTTACGCAGCACACCGGTTGAGAACGAGTTGGAGATGCCCAAATGGTGGTAGAAGGGCTGATTGGGCGGGTACAGCATTTTGCTGCTGTAGAAAAGCAACGCCAAAGCGCAACAAGTTTCGAGGGCAGTGCTTGATTTTCGAGCAGAAATGCAAATTTGCCTATGAATTATGCAAATCAGCGTTTGGTTTCAGGATTTCTGACCGCAACCGGACTGGTTTCCGGATCGAACGCAAGAGGGTCGAGCCAGGTATGTGCAAAGGAGCTCTTCGTAGTCCATTCGCGACGACGAAGTCGCATTGTATTTATTTAGACTGCAGTTAACTTGATCTAAACGAGGAACAGATCTCGCACGCATAAGCCTAAGCCTAAGCCTAAGCATAAGCCTAAGCCTAAGCATAAGCTTAAGCCTAAGCCTAAGCATAATCCTAAGCCTAAGCCTAAGCATAAGCCTAACCCTATGCCAAACTATAAGCCTAAGCCTATTTCTATGTCTATGCCTAAGCCTAAGCTCAACCTAAACGAAACTCGCCAATATTGGTGCGCGTTGCATACCACAAACGTAGCTTATACTTTCACATACTTTTCCGTAGCGACACCCTTCATTTCCGTGCTTTTAACGTCAGCACCATCCCCCACGGAACACCACCTTTTTTTCAAGGGCCCTCACGGTTAGAACACGACGATAATCGAAGCATGTAAGGTGCCAGTTTCCCGATGGCGTGCCACAAATTCCAGATTCCCCCCATAGGTGTCTATTGTTACGGGGGCACGTCGCGCCGGGTCATGGCTGGATACGATAAAAAATGGTGGCCCGACCGCGGGGGGGACAAGGGCCGGGGCGCTTGATTGTTTGGAGGGGGTTGAGGGCCCCCGGTTGGAATGTGACGGCGCCGCGCGGAAAGTCAGCTGGTTGAAGAATATAAGGTGTCAATGGTGGTGGGGGTCCCCCCGACTTTGGCGCGCCGGATACAAAGACTTCTCACGGTCTCTGCCAGCCGCCTCCGATTTTGGCTTGGGTTTTATTGGATTTCCATTCGGTTCGTCGAATTTTTGATGCGCCGATTACATCGGTCGATGCAAATTTCGACATTACAAATTTCGACATTATGAATTTTGAAAATAAGCCGATGTCGACCAATGTAGATGGCATCTTTCTCGTATCGACGTTGAAAATTGGGACAGTTTCTCTTAAAACCAGATTTTTTTTGAAAAATCAATTTAGGTATTCTTTTCGGAAACATGATCTTTTGGAAAATATAACTTTTACAGAAAAACGTTTTTCAGGAGAAATTAATTTTAGTTCTTACAAATAAAGCAAAACATTTGAACTGTTTTCCACTAGCGAGACCCTTTTTGCGGTTCTCGAGAGTGTTGCAAATTTATTTAACGTCATTCGATAGAGCGCCAAAAAAGATATCTAGGGTTTAAATTTTTGCCCAAACTAACGTTAAATAAAATAGTTATGAGAAAAGCAAACAAATCCCCGAAAAAGCTGTTAAGCCATAATTGTAGTTTTTTTTTGTAAAATTGTTTTATTAACTTTTGGTTTGTTTATAATTTTCAGTTAATAGTTTACTATAGAAATAAATTTAAGGCTATAACGAAATTCTATAAGCATTTTGGTACACTTAATTTTTTCCGGCCTGCCTTCTAATGGTCTGATTGTAGATTTAAAAATTCTGATGCTCCCAAGGCCTCGAAATATCAATGCCAATTCGATCTTGAACCTTAATCATCTCATTAAATATTACGTAATCAATCAGTATCAACCCAATTCCACAACTCGACCATCCTTTGCCAGCCTTCCCATCCCGTGACGTGATCGGCGTATTCGGCTGATTAATGGCACATCAGATTGGGGCGAGGTCTCGTCGCCCCCCCATCAAATTTCCGCTTCCGCGGCGCGCCCCGGCAGAAGACGGGTCCTGCTGTGGCCCGCGCGTCTTTTTGACGCCTAGCGTGTGCCCTTTTCACGTATCGCTTGCATACGGCCACCACCAAAGAGACAGACAGAGAGACAGACAGACATCTACACCCCATCATTGCTGACGCCTCCTCCTCCCTCCACACATCTATGGTATTTGCCCAGTTTCACCCGATCGCCCCGCACTGCCCTCCCCCCTCCCCGTATGCAAATTTAGGCCTTTTTTTGGGGGCCCAGCAATGGCCATCAAGTGGCATTTCAATCGCAAACATCTGGCAACGGGTTGCGGTTTTTCAATTCTTGATTACTTGCCTTGCCTTTAAAGATTTTATCCCAACCGATTCTGCGCGTTTCCTCAACAATCTCTGCTAGCCTGTCCTCTCCTCTTCCTCAACAATCTCTGCTAGCCTGCCCTCTCCTCTTCCTCAACAATCTCTGCTAGCCTGTCCTCTCCTCTTCCTCAACAATCTCTGCTAGCCTGCCCTCTCCTCTTCCTCAACAATCTCTGCTAGCCTGTCCTCTCCTCTTCCTCAACAATCTCTGCTAGCCTGTCCTCTCCTCTTCCTCAACAATCTCTGCTAGCCTGCCCTCTCCTCTCTTCCTCAACAATCCCTGCTAGCCTGTCCTCTCCTCTTCCTCAACAATCTCCAGTAGCCTGTCCTCTCCTCTCTTCCTCAACAATCTCTGCTTAGCCTGCCCTCTCCTCCTTCCCTCAACAATCTTTCAGCCTGTCCTCTCCTCTTTCCTCAACAATCTCAAGCAGCCTGCCCTCTCCTCTTCCTCAACCTCTTCCCTCTGTTAGCCCGCCTTGAGTCGAATCTTGCAACAACCTTTCCCGGCTTAGAGGCAGGCTAGCAGAGTTTCTTTGCCTGGTTTCCACATGGCTTTCCTCCCACCTCACATCCCATCCCCATCATGTTTGCGGGCGTTGTGGCCAACAGGGCCAAGGGCCCTGGTATGTGCTGATGGTTTTTGGGCGCTTAGGAGGATGTGGGCCCTTGCCGCGAACGGGTCCCCAAAGGGCAGCGCTGCCGGTTGTGTACGCGCGCGGCTTGCAAGCCGCGGCAAAAAGCTTCGACGGAATGTTTAGGTTGCCCTTCCAGCTTGCCCTTCTATTTACTTCCTGTTTTTTTGCATATTTGATTCACCTCTCGAATTACACCCGTTTTAAAGGAGCGTTGAAGCCTAAATCTCAAGTTTCTTTTCCGAAAATGCGGTCAATTTGGCCATGTTATGTCTGGATCGTCTTCATGATTACTTAACCGACTCGCTCCAGTTCAGATGCTCCATGTAGCCGGGGGCTGGTTGCTCGTCCTGTTGCTCCAGGTCGTCGACACGATGGACTTCTGCGAGTACTTTGCCCGCCTCGGCGTCGACAAGCCGGAATGCCGAAAGGTCGGCGAGAAATCGACGTGAAAAGCTCGACTTTCAGCAAATCCACTTCGACACTTTCGACCCGAACCCACGACCCGCACTCCACTCGTATGGCGCAGGTTTTGCATTTCCACAGCTGCTGCCGTCCCCAGTCATCGTCGACTCGCCTAAGCTGCCCGGCAGAAGTTTGAGCTCGTCGGTTCCCCAGGTAGAAGCCTAAACCTAAGCTCGCGCCGAAGCTGAACTTAAGCCCAAGCATAAGGGGTTAGCTCAAAAAAGTCACTTAGGATTCGACTACCCGCTCTGCAAAAAACTACTACCACTCGTGCATGTTTTCGACAAAATGCGAGTCTGGAACAGGTAAGCCCAGGCTCAAGCCTAAGCCTAACCTAAGCCTCCAAGCCTAAGCCACAGTTCTCGTGAGCCCGAGCCTAAGCCTACGCGTAAGCCGAAGGCTAAACCTAACCATAAGCCTAAGCCTGCTTCCAAGCCCAAGCCTAAGCCTAAACATAAGCCCGGAGCCTACAGCCTAAGCCTGCTTCCAAGCCTAAGCCCAAGCCTGCTCAAACATAAGCTTCCAAGCCCAAGCCCAAGCCTAAGCCAAGCCTAAGCCTGCCTCCAAACATAAGCCCAAGCCTAAGCCTAAGCTTCCAAACATAGCTTCCAAGCCTAAGCCTGCTTCCAAGCCTAAGCCTAAGCCTCAAACCTAAGCCTAAGCCTGCCAAGCCTAGCTTCCAAACCTAAGCCTAAACCTAAAACATCCATTCAGTGTGCACAACTGGTTTCCGACACGACCCCTGCTGCACCTCTACTGTAACCCGGTGCCCGTCCGTCGTCTCCGTTAGCATCAACTGCCGCAAGCCAAAAAGCGTCAATTGGTGCGTCTAGTAGTACAAATAAGCCTTAAGCTAGGGCTCTACAAAATCGTAAACAGCGCCACATATAAAACCCTAGGCATTTTAGGCGGATATCCAACGAAAATTCGCGCGAACTCCGGCGTCAGGTAGTCCGAAAAGCACCTGGGGGCACACCCTTTGCACTGGGGCTTAGTTTCAAGGGACCTGGACAGAATTATCTAGACTTTCGCGCACAAGCAAACCCCCTCCCCACAAAGTCACCATCTCGTTTCTAAGCGCAGTCCAAATTGGCAGTCTTATCAAGCTCATATGCTTGTTTTTAGGTGCTTTACGGATCGTGATTGCCGGGGAGCAGCCACGACGTCATCGTCCAGAAGTGCCCTACCGGATGTAACTATAACATTTGTGTCCCGCAGGCAGATGTCTTTCCCAAAAGATCTCTGCTATCCGACAACTCCGGAGGACTATTTGCCAATCATCAATTAGGCGAGTTATTAGGGTTGGGCAGGCTAGCAGAGATCGCGGAGGAAAAAGAGGAAACGAATCAGTGAATCACCCACAACAACCCGTTAAAATCATTTCCGCTTCAGCCTTCTCCCGCCTCAACCTCAACCAAGACCAATGCCCAGATCCATGGAAGATAGATGTAAGAATAGCATGATTTTTTTAAAGAAAATTCGCATTCAGGTGAAGTGCAACGTGCGACGGCCGACGAGCTGGTGCGCTAAGCATTCAGACTGTCCCACGGTGAACAGCGTCAACCCGAGAAGGTTCGTGCTCTCTGCTAGCCTAAGCCTAAGCCTTAGCCGAAGCCTAAGCGAAGCCTAAACGAAGCTTAAGGGAAGCCTAAGCGAAGCCTAAGCGAAGCCCAAGCGAAGTTTAAGCGAAGCCTAAGCAAAGTTTAAGCGAAGCCTATGCGAAGCCCAAGCAAAGCCTATGCGAAACCTAAGCGATGCCTAAGCGAAGCCCAATTTCTAAGCCTAAGCCTAAGCCTGAATGCTAAGCCTAAGCCTAAGAATAAGCCGAGCCTGCCTCCAAGCTCTTCCCCTCATGGAAACTCTGCTGGTGTCTACCCTCTCCCAAAAATCCTATTTTCCAGATGCTGCCAAACGCTTTGCGGCTACACGGCCTGCATGGTGAGGTACAACAACAAGTGGATGACTGCCTGATCACCTCCCACATCTCAGTTCCTTCCAGTAGTGTGCTATTTATTGCGAAAGGCGATCGAGAAAAAAAACATTTATTGCTTTTTGAGATTTCGTTGAAGTACACATCTGTACATAATGCCATATTTACAACTCAGAGTGTACCGTCGAGGTCGGTTCGGTTTCTTCATGCAGATACTTTGTATATTCATCGTAACGGGCTGAGGTCCTCGAATTTGTGGAAGAGAGATGGGCGGCTGTCGGGCGATGTAGTCCCTGGTAAACGCTTGGTTAGGAAATGTAAATACACGAATTACGGGTCTCTATTATGATGTACCAATTTTCCAGGTCGCTCGAGGTCCCTTAAAAACTATCGGAATTGGTGCTTACTCGCATAATCGATGGATCGGGCTCGGTGAAAGGACGAGGAGTGGATGATCGGAATGTTGGAAGGAACGGGCACAAACCCCTAAAATGGCCAGCTGGAGCTCTGCTCCCGCTTCTGCCAAGACGAAGCCATCACATACCAAGGTAATCATATCATCCGGCGAATCATCACTTAGGGGCATCTCGCAGTTTCCCCGGCCAGTTGCAAAGCGCCGCTGCTTTTGAGAAGACCATGCTGGAAAACACGAGATCATGCTGTCACGCCCCATTTAAGAAGCTGAATCGATACTCAGTAACCTACCCAGAGCCTCCAGTCGGATAACAGAACCACCGAAGCTCCTGTCCGGGCCGAATAGCCGAAGGCTGTAGCGCTCGCCGATAATCATCTAGAGGGCATCTAGCAAGAGATTGTTGATCATGGAAGAAAAGAGGGTACGCTAGCAGAGATTGTTGAGGAAGAGGAGAGGGCAGGCTAGCAGAGAATGTTGAGGAAGAGGAGGGGCACGCTAGCAGAGGATTGTTAGGAAGAGTGAGAGGTGCGCCAGTAGAGATTGCTGAGGAAGAGGGAGGGCAGCTAGCAGAGATTGTTGAGGAAGAGGAGAGGGCACAGCAGAGGATTGTTGAGGAAGAGGAGAGGGGGCAGGCCAGTGAGATTGTTGAGGAAGAGGAGAGGCAGGCTAGCAGAGATTGTTGAGGAAGAGAGAGAGGGCAGGCTAGCAGAGATTGTTGAGGAAGAGGAGAGGGCAGGCTAGCAGAGATTGTTGAGGAAGAGGGGAGGGCAGGCTAGCAGAGATTGTTGAGGAAGAGGGGAGAGGGCAGGCTAGCAGAGGATTGTTGAGGAAGAGGAGAGGGCAGGGCTAGCAGAGATTGTTGAGGAAGAGGAGGGCAGGTTGGGAGTAGAGATTGTTGGAGGAAGAGGAGAGGGCAGGCTAAAGAGAGATTGTTGAGGAAGAGGAGAGGGCAGGCTAGCAGAGATTGTTGAGGAATGGAGGAGAGGGCAGCTAGCAGGAGATTGTTGAGGAAGAGGAGAGGGCAGGCTAGCAGAGATTGCTGGAGGAAGAGAGAGAGGGCACATAGCAGAGATTAAGGAGGAAGAGAGAGAGGCAAGTACAGCAGAATGTTGAGGCAGGAGAGGCAGGCTATCAGAGATTGCTGAGGACGAGAGGGCAGGCTAGCGTGAGATTGTTGAGGACGATGGCGAGGCAGCTGCAGAGATCTTCACCCAATTACCTTC